ATAGTTTCAGTGATGCTTAAAACTAAGTTTAATTGCTGCATGACAAGCCTGTTGTTTGGATGCCAGGGATTTTTATTTTTTTTATTATTACACTTAATGAATCATCATTGGCCTTTACTTGGCTTCAAAATGTTGCTGAACACAATATGTGTTAATAAGATTTTTTTTTTTATCCATGACCACGAGGGAGTCTACATTCATSAAATTTATGGGAAACACGTTTGTTAAAGGGGATACATGCAAAATCCACATTAAATACATTTTATTGTGTACTTGGAGTCTTTAGGAGTTCACAGCAAGATCCTCTTCTGAAAGGTTTCTGTGCTGCTAATTAAAATGGACTGATCTGTAAGCTGGAGGTGGGGTGTGAAGTGCCTCGTTTGATTAAATGAGACAGCCTAAAAACGAGTTGATCTGAGACACACCTCAGAAAAGGGGTGAAAGAAGGGCTTGTGGAGTTACAATCAGGAGGAATTTAGACCAAAGCATTGCAGTTCCACTTTATATAGACCCCAACTGAATGATTTCAATGTGAAATGAAGGATTTAAAAGCATGATTTAAGGAAGTTTATCGAGCATTTTTGGCACTAAACATGTACAATACGTAGCATGTCACACGAGAAAAAAGGGAAATTATTTTGTGGAACGTGCAGTTTAGGTTGGATACTTAAGAGAATGCCAGGAACATGGTGCAGACCCCATGTTGTCAGAATTGCTTGATCTCAACCCCCACCCCTTACCGCCTCCATCTGTCACCTATTTTTGTTGTGCTCTTTATGTACATATACCTATAAATATGTCTCATATGTGCTTACTCATGTAGCAAAAATTGAAAATCAACAGTTTTATACATTATACCCCCTCAAAAAAAAAAAATAAATAAATAACTACGAGTACACACCTCAGAAAGAGCTGTGTTACTAAAATGTTTTCCTACAGTTGTGTTTGCATTCCTAATTATGTTTTATTTCGTCCCTGTCATGCAACACCGAAAAGCGGTAACGAATGCTGCAGACGCAAAAGAAAACCCTTTGAAAATAAAAAAACCTTCATGATTTCAATCGCCTGAAGCCTCGTGTCAGAAATATGATCTTACCTTCACCTCTTACTCTGAATACGTACTGTAATGATGCTCTGAGGTGAACCCACCCATCAATTATTCACACAATGCGATATTTTCACTCTTTATCATCTTGCTAGCAAGAAAGGGCCGTTTAAGGGAAACAGAGGTGAACAAAGAGTAGAGAAAGAAGAAAAAAGGAGGAGAATGCTGGGTGGATGAGTAGCAGGATTTGCTGTGGACAGACAATGCTCTTGATGTGAGTTATAATTGTAGTTTAACAATGTGTGGACCTTGGGGATATTTGCCATGCAATATATGGCCTTTAGACTAGTATCACTATGGAAACCAAAGGCCCTGAACGACCTGCAGTGCCCACCCACTTGGACAGCCGTTAATCATCTTCGCTCAGATCCTGGCACCGCAGAATTTGGCCAGTGTGTCAAGAAGCAATTATATATACTTAGTGCTTGGGCATCAGATCTCCTCCCTCCTCCTCTTTCCTCGCTCTCTCGCACTCTTAATATAATCATAGAGCAGTCAGTTTAAAAGCCCTCTGTTCATTTCAGTGTCTATCGGGGGGGATGCACACAAAACAGATAAAAAAAAGTTTAAAAAGACAGAGAATATTCTATTCTGAGAGACATTATAATCAGAATACTCTAACTCATATTCAGCCATTTACTCATTTTACCAGCCTCCCGAGCTGACTGACATCCTAAATTACCCCAGCTGGTCCATTGCATTCGCCGCACATATTGGACTGGTGCGAATCATGGAGACTAATGTGAGCTGACTAGAGGGAGATTATGTTCTGCTTCTAACAGCTAAAACCTGAATAACACCATCCACAAACCCACGGTGTTCCCCCCATTACATCAGCCCTGATCAACTGTTAAAAAAACAAAAAAAACAACCAAAAAAAAAAAACAAAAACAAAGGGAAGGAGTCAGATAAGGATCCACAAGGAGACAGAAATTAGGTGGATGGATGAAATTATAGAGACAACACTATTTCTGCAAAGCTTTAACTAGAAAGATGTTCCAACATGACATCTTTCACTAACATGTGAAACTGCTATTTCTTTTTTAAAAGACACCAAAATGTAGGAAGTTGGAACTCATTCTGAGTGTCCGACCAAATGTTTCTTTGCTCAACCATGCTTTAAAGCAATTGTTCAAATCATTTGATGTGAACTTTAATAAAAAAGGGATGAACAGTTGGTATCCCCTGTACATARCTCTTTGAACAACCTTAGTATAAAGAAACTGGGTTTAATTCTGATCAGACCAAGGAGATTAACACTAAAGGTGGAGTCAAAACCAAAGATGAATATTGCCGTAAAATGACTCCAATCTCAAACATTACACAGTTGTTTCAGTCACCATTTAAAGTGGACATATCACTTGAAATCCACTTTTTTAGACATGAAATACATTTTGTTGTGTACTTGGAGGCTGTAGGAGTGCATAAAATTAGAATTTAGCCTCTCCCAGATATCTTTATATTCTGTTTGGGTCATATTTTTAAACCTGTTCAGTTTACTCTAGTTTTATGACATTTTCTGCACCAATGCATCACAGTATTTGCAATGGAAATGCCAACTAAATTCTGGACTTACCAACTACAACTTGTTCATTGTCCTCTGGCTCTGGGTCAGATTCTGGCTCCAACATGTAAAGCTGGATGGGCGAGTGTTGCTGATATGTTTTAATTAATTTGTTATTAAAATGTTTCTGTGCTGCTATATAGTTGTATACCCCTCTTTAAAACTAGAATTGGCTGAAGGGGGACGGGGTGTGAAGTCCCTCCTCTGAATTTAAAGAGACAGCCTCAAAACCAGTTGATCTGAGACACACCTCGGTTACAATAAATTACAATAAGGATGAATTCAGACCAAAGCATAGTAGTTCCACTTTATACAGATCCCAACGGAATAATTTAAATGTGAAAAAGAAGAMGTTAAAAGCATACAGTATGTCTCCTTTTATATTGCATTCCATTTCCAATTACCGTATTTATTCGTGTATAATATGATCTCATGTATAACATGACCCCCCCCCATGTTTTGAGCTTAAAAAGCATAAAAAATTAATCCTCAAACTACCTCCAATTTCATACAGACTTAAGATTTGTCAGCCTTTGCAGTCTTTATACATATCAGTAAAACGATCATTGTACTGTTTATTTTATTTTAACAACATAAGTACTAAAAGGTATTTTGACAACAAATATATATCAGCAAACTATGATTTTGAGCATCATGTGATTTCTGGCATTTTACACATTATCCACCAGAATGCGAGAACACAAAATCAGAGACTTCACATGAGATTTGGGCCATCTTGTGGGGGGAAAGCAGATTACTTCCTACGTGTGAGCGCCCCCTCTGGTGGGGAAACATTTTTTCAGGGCTACAAACTTTTTCAGAACACCGGTAGACGGCAGCCATTAGACGAACATGTGTTTGTTGTTGTTCCAGCAGCGGCCCAATCACATGCTAATGCCATTAGTTTGTTATTACTAAGGTGCAGGACTGCCATTTTTACTTTTTTTCACATCATGTCGCCTGCTTGGATCWGTTACTATCTCGCTCTGAAGCACGGAGTGTCACAGGTAAGCTCGTTTCAACTGCTTTTCACGTCGTGGTCCCATTTCCGGACTCAGGCATTTTGTGAATGAAGCCGATATTTCTTTTAAAATACATAAGAAAAAAAAGCCACTGATGATGCAGATATTAAGAAACTAACATTCAGTTTTATTTTCTACTGAAGTGGCTTAAAAATAAAACAAATAAAATAAAATAAAATAAAATACATAAGTAAAAATATTTATCCGAGCATAGTACTGCCCCCCAACTTCATGGATGATTTTATGGATTTAATTTTATGTATTATACTTGAATAAATGCAGTACATTACTTTTAGCTTATTGACAGAAAAATTATGAAGTCTCCAAAACTGCTCTTAGATTTGCAGTAAAAAAACTATAATTATGCACCACACCAGTATTTTAATATAGTGCAGTCCTAGGTTCAGCTACCAAAAAAAGGAGCAGAAAAAACAAAATCAAAACAAAAAACTACAACCAGCAAAATATTTTTTGTCCTACAATCTTTGCTTGTTAATACTCTGATGAAGCAGCAGTATGTGGCACATTGGAAAAGACACCCTACATGGCAACAAAACAAAACAAGAATTAATTACATAGAAGTTAATTGCCTTCCATGTAATTTCTCATTGACATAGCGGGAGGAGGACCATCCGTACTTTGTTATTATTTACTGCCCATGTGAACGCAGCCAGAGTCATTTTGGCCAGCTAGCTGTGCATTAGGGATGCAGAGCCGTGTTAGACTGAACGCTTGATGACAGCCTGTCAGACAGCTTCCATCCATTGGGCTCTTTTTACCAAGGTCCACTTTTGCAATATGCCACTCTCTACCACAACAGCCATTCATCCAGAAAAGGACGCGGGCATTTTTGACACGCTTGGTGCTAAGTGAACTAAAATTGTGTGAATTTCACTGTATAGCACATTATCACAGCTTGCAAGAAGCATGCATCAGGAGTAAAGGTTGAAGGGGAGTTGAGAGTGTTGAGATGACTTGAGACCATCAGAGTGAAATAATGACTTTGACTGTGGCTGTTAGGTACTAATTAGCATTGAATAAATCTGCCCTTCTTGACTAATGTTAAATAAGACTTAAATGATTAACAGAGCACAGAGCGGACACACAAAGAAATTGTTGTTTTAGTGTACAAATTAAAGAATACCACGTTGATTGAGGTGCTGTTCTTCAGAAATACATATAAAGGAGGATCTTGACATGAGACAAATCAGATTAATAAAATCTAAATATAAATAGACAGTGGCAATAGATAAACACTGAATTCTTATTTATTATTATTGTTTTTTCATGAAATAAAGCTGAGGCTTACCTCATGAGGACAAATGAGTGGCGGTGAGCTAAAAGCCTTCTCCGTTGTTTGGCTAATGTTCTGCAAAAAAAAAAAAAAACATTTAAAGGAACATTTAAAAACATTTAAACAAATTGAAGCGCATTACAACAAATATCACTTGTCAACAAAATTTCTGACACTTGAAACAGCAACTTTTAAATTCAACAACAACCATTTTTATCTCTTGTTGACCTACACACACCATCCCAGGGCTAAACATAATGCCTTTTTGGTTGTTTTGTTTCCCCACTTCCTTTTAGTTCCATCCCTGCACAAGGATTATAAATCCTTCTTTGTCAGAAGATTTTACTGAACATATGTTCAGACGTTTGCACATACGCCTGACTGCAGTTTTTGAGGTTAAATGATTATCACATTGTTAATACACCAATACATCACTCAGACACAGGAAAACACCATTAAAAAGCAGACACAAGGTAAGTCAACAAGCCAACAACAGATGGTCCCGCTGCTTGTGATTATGCAAAGATCCAAAGTATTTGCATACTTGCAAAGCCACCATAAAAAAGAAAGGGAAAAAAAGAGAAAGGAAACAAAAAGCCATCTTGAATTGACCTGGGTGAGAAAGAAAAAAGCAATGGGGAACGCAAACCCAGCAGGGAAGTGGATGGGCTTTGCAAATGTCTTTGGGAATCTACTAAGGGTCTGCCTCCTGGGAAGGCCCTGTTGATTTTCAAGCAGGAGCTTTCAGTTATGTCCTCAGATCCAATTATGTGCCTGTGGTACGTCTGATGCTCTGTGACACTATTAATGGCTGCCTTATGGTATCACCGGGACAGATGAGACGCTCAACTCTCCAGACTCTTAACATCTATATTTCATCGCAACGTAGGAGGATAGAACACCTCACTGGCCAGAGGAGCTAAAGGAGAGAAAAAAAAMCAGTCAGACTTTCACTGTAGCGTAAACACCATGTCATGAAATATAGATGATTAAATGGGTCTTGCTGGGATGGTAGAATTAGTGAGAGAAGATTTTCCCTACAGATTGAGCCGGCAATGTAACCATGATATCCTAACTGATGTGACAAGTAAAGACAAATTATTTACCTTGGAGATTCACATCAGTAGTAAAGGATTTTTGTGGGTTTTTACGCAAAAGAATCAAAGCAGTTGACTTAGGCTTCATTCATTGATTCCAAAATATGAGATTTAAGATAGTTCAGCTCATTGTTTCAGGCCTGGCCCCGTGTCATAGGCAGTTAAAACAAATGCTAAGGGTATGTAAAGTACAGTATAATGTAAAATGGCAGTGAGATTAAAAAAATAAAATAAAAAAGGGGCACCACCTGGAATCTTGCCAGGAGCACCATATTGGCTTGGCCAGGCACCGCATTGTTTACTATATGAGTAAAGGGGTAGAAAAGTTAAGTGTATCCAGTTAACTACGTGATGATAATTATATCAAAGGCAAATAAATAAATCTGAGTTTATTTCTGACCAAACTGACAAGTTAATAGTTAGTCTGACACTGCCTAAAGGATTGATGTCATATTAAACTGCACTGATCTTCAAAACTGTGTAGCATTTTTTAAGTAAGACTACTTGTTAAGTTTTTTAAATCAGTGTCAACCGTGCAATAAATGATTATTTGACAGAAAATCTGCAATATTGCTACAATAAGTCCTTTGTATTACACCAAAGATACCATAGCTATCTCTAGCTGGGCTGATGTTGTTTGTGTTTCCAAATTACTGTAGAATAAATGACTAAACCACACAAAACTGACAACAATGTAAAGTTTTATAAAGTAACATCATCACTAACTGCTTTAAATGTTTGAATACATTTCAAGTAGCAACAGTCAGCTTTGGTCGCTCAAACTAGCTAGCTTGCTAGCTTGTCATTGTAATCAGAGTTCAGTTATTTTTTTCTAAACTGGGGCCATTCAAAATGGATCTACAACAGGTAAAATATTGACTGTCAATACCTTAAAGGGGCCATATTAAGTGTTTCTCGGCCATATATTTAAATACTATACCATAATAAAGCATCTATGTCACCTTTAGTTATTAAAATGCTGTTTTATGTTTAAGTAGAAAATAAACTTATCTTCTCATCACTTACTCTTCTAAACACCTTGAAATTGGCCTCTGTCATTTTAAGAACCGCCTTACGCTTCTGTCTCGCCCATTTCAGTGCACGCGGGGGG